GGCTGGACGCTGACGCTGGTGGTCGGGCTCGAGCTGACCTTCTCGTTCTCGTGGTCGTGATCCATAGGGGATGAGGACAAGGAGCTGTGCGGTGTTTAGGTGCTGGAAGCTGTAAGTAGCACACGCAGGGCTTCCTTCCGCGCTCGGGTCCGCGTCTTATCGTGGAGGTCTGTTATAGAATAGGTTGGGAGCGCTCCAGCCCAGGTTCCCGCAGGGTACATATACCCTCGTAGGCATAGTCCAGCCAGATGCATAATCATTGAGCGCCTCGGGTCCAGATAAGTAGCCTGCAACGGCGGATCGGAAACGGGAAGAAGAGGAGTGCTCCCGATCTCCGAAGCCGCTTCTGTCCCAATTGGCATCTTCTCAAACGGCTGGCAGCACGTCACATCACGTCGCAGAGCCAGCCACAGTCACTCAGCAGATGCACGGTGCATTCAGATGCGTTCCAGATGTAGTATGACAGGTGGGGGTAATGTGGACACGGACAGTTCGCAGTGGCACGAGCACACACTGTTGGGCTCGCACGACGCATTACAGAGACTCGTTTCATCGCATGGGAACGGAAAGGGGAGCTCGGTCAGTTGGCCAGGTGCTCTTCATAGCCCTTCTCGCTCTCGACTTCGCCGGGGATGTCGTCAAGCTTAGACGTTTGATCAGCAGGGATTCTGACAGGCGTCGGTGGAGACAGAGAGGACCCACCTTGTCGAGATCGTCGAGGCTCTCCCTAATAATATCCAACGCCTTTTGCATATCCTCCTCTTCGATGACCAAAGGAGGCGCGAACCGGATACTAAAGGATGCCCGAAACCATCAGCGTCCAGACCTCAGTTGCATCCCACGGTGCAACTGCACAGGAATCGAATCGACTTACATGTGACCATGCGTGGGCTTCGCCAACACGCCACGGCTCTTGAGCAGCAGGCACAGCTGCCACGCCGTGCGTCCTTTCTGACTGGCCGTCTCGTCCACGACGACAGCGTTCAGCAGCCCGCGCCCGCGCACGGCCGTGACAAGCGGGTGCTTCCACCCAGCAATCGTGCTGCGGAACACCTCGCCCAGACGCTGTGCACGGTCCGCCAGCCGCTCCTCGACCAGCACGCGCAACGCAGCTGTCGCTACCGCGCATGCGAGCGGGTTCCCGCCGTACGTCGAGCCGTGCTCGCCCGGACGGATGCAGAGCATGATGTCCTTGTCAGCGAGTACGGCCGAGACGGGGTACACTACGTGCTGTTAGCGACAAATGGAGGAACACCGAGCTGGAGGACGTACGACCGCCAGAGAGCGCCTTCCCAAGCAGGATTATGTCCGGCCGGACATTATCCCATTCGCAGCAGAGCATCTTCCCCGTGCGGCACAGTCCCTAAATCCGGGAGATGGTTAGGCTTGGCCTCGAGGGAGCGTTGCTAGCGCACCGTCTGGATCTCATCACAAATGAGCAAGACGTTATGCTTCTCGCACAGCGCCTTGCACTTCGCGAGGTACCCCTCGTCAGGAACGACGATCCTAGAGCATACACGCCGTCAGCTTCCAGATCGTGCGCGTTTGAATAAGGCCCCCCCTGCCTCTCCCTGGATCGGCTCGATGAGGAATGCAGCGACGTCCTTCCCGTGTTCCTCGAGCGCCTCCTCAAGGTCTTCGGCATGGTTGTACCTGATCATCTTGCCCTTGCTGCCGTAGGTGGGCCCTACGTTGGGAAGGTACGGCCCAAAGCCTACTCTGCTCTCGGGGTCGGTGCTCAAGCTGATCACGCCCGTCGTGCGTCCGTGGAAGTTGCCTGCCGCGCACAAGACGATTGCGCGTCCCTCAGGAACCTTCTTCTTCTCTGCACATACAAGTTCCTTGTTAGTTCGCATATACAGATGGGGCGAGCGTCCGACGTACCGTACGCCCACTTCCGCGCAAGCTTGATGGCAGTCTCGACCGCCTCAGCGCCAGTGTTCATAGGCAGGACCATGTCGTACCCGAACATCTGCGTGACGAGCTTCGCGAACGGCCCGAACTGGGCATTGAAGAATGCGCGCGAGGAGAGCGTGAGGGAGCTGGCCTGCTCAACGAGCGCGGCGACGATCGCCGGGTGGCAGTGGCCCTGGTGTTCGGCGTCCCGCGCGTCAGCGGGCCAATGGGAGACATGACGATTCGCGCACCTGGTTGACCGCACTGATCGTCGAAAATATCAGCACGTGATAAGAGGACATTTGGGCACACATACGAGTATGCAGACAGGAAGTCGAGGTACTCCTTGCCTTCTGGATCCCACACCCTGCAGGACATCGACTTCAGCGTCATCGAACGCAATCCATGAAATGAAATACGCACTTTGCGCCTTTCGCGCTCTGGAACACGACCGGGAGAGGGTGATAGCTGTAGGATGGATGCGCACACGAGCACAGTACGTCAATAACCCCCGTCACGCGATATCCCGACGCCGGAGGGAGTGTACTGACTTGTGCGCTCCATACTCATGCTCGAGTTGGATGACGTCCGCGCTGGACATGGATACAGATTTGCTGGGCTTCTTGGCGTGCCCGTTGGCCTTGGTCTGTGCAGGGGACATGATGTGCGACGCTGTGTGTCTGTGACAAGTTGTCGAGCTAGTTGCTGTGGGCGATGAGCGCAGGTGGCGAGTTGGATGGTGCAAGAAGCGCTGTGCGGGAGGACAAGGCTAGCTAGGACAAATGGAGGTCCGCGGTCGACGTCAAGTCACAGGGAAAGTCTCTAGGCGCCGTTCGGCCGGAACTTTGCCGACAGCCCGAACGCCATGCCGCGCACCCCAAAGCACGCTCCAGCGAATAGCTGGGTCCCGGAGACCAGATGTGTCGGTGAGGAGCACTGAAACCATGCGGGTATGACGCAGTAACACCAAAAGAGGAGCGCGCTTATCTTCAGGATCGCCTGCCAGCTCGGTACTTAATGTATTTCGGGCGTATAACGAGCGTTCATACAGAAAAATGTTGACCAGTGCGAGAGTCGAACTCGCTCTGCCCCGGACATGCAATTAGCAGAAATAGGGTGTCATGCCGTTAGACCATCCGATCATTCGCTGCGCAGCACCTGCAAACCCTTATAAGCACCGATGCTCAATTACCACCACTCAACACGCCTGTAACAAACACGCGTAGTTAGATATTGCGATCGAGAGATCAGGAGGAACCACGAGAGCGACACGATGTCCTGTTCCGTGTAAGCCCTTAGCTGCACGAAGTCCTTCGTAGCGGAGACAAGTCAGCCGAGGAAACCAGAGAAAGTCCAAATTGTGGATATGATTTAAAAGCACCGCACTATGTGGGACTTGCACTACATGAGCTCAGAAGATATATCCTGGGAGGGCGGCGCGAGAAGGACGGCGCAGAGGGCGACGGAGAGGGAAGGGCGGGTGCAATGGGAGGCGGACACGCAGACGAGCGGGATGCGCTGGGGTGGGATCTCCCGCAGTGCGACGGTGAAGAGAGGATGGCGCGAGAAGGGATGGCGGGCGCACGCGTTGCGGTCACGCGCACGCGGGGGACGAGAGACCACAACCAAAGCGCAAACAAACAAACAACAGTGTCCCAAAAATCCCACTTAAGTTATCGACCCGTATCACTCATTATCAGGCTCTATAGGGCTCTCAGATCTGAAGCTGAGGTATCAGAATAGCTCGGACCGCATCCGCGGCTGTTCCGACCTATCGACCCGATAGGGCCCTATCGGGTCTGAAGCTGTTATAAGGGCCTATCAGGCCCTATAAGCTGTTGGAGCCGTAGGAACAAATAGTAATAGCTATACCTCGCAGCTGTTACTGCGAGGCGCCGCTTCTATTCAGATTTTGTTGTAGTACTTGCTTTACTGTAACCGTTTACTTACTTATTTGCTTATTTACTTTACTTCACTGGTCAGCTTACTTTCAACATGAGAGAGGCTCGAACCAGCGACCACGAAGTGCAGCGCCACATGCGCCGCGCGCGTAGCCACTGCGTTACGAGGGAATTGGTGGTGCAGCTCCACTTGTTATTTATATGCCGCTTTGGCTCCGCCGTTTCTGGCAGTCGTGAGGATCTCGTTCCGTGCTAGTTCTTCTGCCAATGCATGTACATAACATATACCATACTCTCTTGGACGCTCACACCTCGTTTGGGAACCCCGTCGATCGCGCGTTGTCGTGCCCGATAGGGCCTCCGCGGTGGCCTGATGGGCGCCTACAGCTCCGACAGGCGCCTATCGACCGTGGCTGGGGGCGTTATCGGCCCCGATACGGTCTGAGCCTCGCCTATCGGGCCCTATACAACAATATAACTTGCCGCTGAGCCCCGATATGCTACGATAACTCAATCGGGCGGTCTCAGACCCGATAACTCATTTGGGATTTCTGGGACAAGTGTGATCACAGGAGAGCTCCGACTGCCGCTACGTCCGGTTTTGCGCCTGCCAGCCGGCAGAACCTTCGGCATGGGTTGGCTTTGAGTGATTTGCAGCCCAATTGCAGCCTGCGACTTCGAAATCACTCACGTGTATAAAGCTCTTCACACTCGTCGCGCAACATCTCTGCAGACGTCCTGAGCACATCTGCACCATGTCTGATATCAAGTTCCACCCGGTTCACGAGGACATTGACGGCAAGCCCTTTGATGTCAGTACCTACTCGCGGCGACCGATCCACCTTGCACCTAACCTGTCCTGTAGGTGTTCATCGCTGGCTCAGGCCCGATTGGAGCGACCTACGCTCGACTGCTCGTCGATCGTGGATACAGCGTAAGATTGAGACTCGAGTGCCGGACGTCCTCACCTACATGACTTCCCAGGTGTGCATGGCCGAGGTTGGCGACGTACAGTGAGTCCCGTCACCAGTACTTAATTGTGGCTTGAAGGCCGGGAAGACTGATCAGGTCTTGTAGCGACGGTCTTCATCCCGGCGCACACCAGAAGAATGAAATACGCTACCAGAAGGACATCGACTCGTTTGTGAGGTCAGTATCTTGTCTCTATCACTGCAGCTCCGCTAACGCTGTGCAGAGTCATCCAGGTTCGTTCGTTTCTCAAATGACCCCCGCTCGCTGCGACCACACTTATATTGCCAAATTCAAGGGTGCCTTATCAACAGTGTCTATCCCTACCAGTAGTATGGTCCCCCTAACCCTTGACCCCGCCGCTTAGCGTCCCTCTTCGTGAGCTGCTGACTTAACGATACTTCTCACACTGATAACCATCGTCCCTATCTACAGTCAATTCGGCGAAGCAAGCATTACGCACGGCCGCAACCCCATGCAGAAGATCTTCAACAACCTCGGCGCAGCGGCCATAACCCGCTGTGTCGGCGGAATGTCTACTCACTGGTTCGTTGACATGTTGTCCTCACTGCCTCGGTACCTAAAGAACAAGCGTATTCAGGACCTGCGCCACACCGGAGTTCCTCAAGGGCGTCGAGCGCCCCAAGATATTTCCCAACGATGAGGTAGCTGACGATACGGAATGGAAGAAGCTCTACGAAGCTGCGCGTCGTCTCATCGGAACGAGCGAGCACGAGTTCGACCGCTCGATCAGACACAACACTGTCCTCGACGCTCTCAAGAACGATCCTCGGTTCAAGGATCGTGGCGTGGAGCCGATTCCATTGGCCTGTCACCGGATCAACAATGGGCCCTACGTCCACTGGCACTCAGCCGAGAACGTGAGTCGGGCTCACCGCTCTGGAAGATCGCGAACTAACCACAACTGTAAGATATTCGGCAAGGACTTCTTCGTGAAGGACCCTGCCCCAGGAAAGGGCGTCTTCAGGCTTCTGTGCAACACTCTTTGCACCAAGCTTTATGAATCTTCCGGAGAGATTCAGCTGGTGTACGTCGTACCGTAGCCACAGGGAGAGTCGCGACAGATCTTACTCCGCGTAGTGAGGTGCGCGATCTCATCAAGGCAATGCAAGGCGAAAAGGATATCGACTTCGGGATTAAGGCTAAGGTAAAACTGCTACAGTGCGTAACTACCGTCATGCTGACATGAAGGGAGGTCTATGTCATTGCCGCAGGTGCGCCTTCCCGAGGCCGAATTGATACTCACCAAAAAGCTGTAGGGGCCATTGCTACGCCTCAAATACTCGCGAACTCCGGGTTTGGAGGCCGTCGCAGCCAGGAAAACGACAAGAACGTTCTGATTCCGAACCTGGTAGGCTTCTCGACAGCGTTATCTGGACTGCTGTTTATGATACGATGCAGGGTAAACGCATCGTCGAGCATCCGTATGTTCCAGCCTACAGGGAGCTTGAAGGTGCAGACGTCTGATGTTTCGCAGCATGGCCTTCTGCCAAATCGTCTTGCGCCAGGTGTGTACATCTCTACTACTGAACGCAATGCTTACAAACTTCGTAGGAGCTGGCAAGTACCCGCGACCTCTTGAGAGAGGATACGACACTAACGACGCCTCAGGTCGATAACGTCACGTCGCAAGAGCACCCGAAATGGTGGAGAGACGCAGTAGCAGCTCACGTCGAGAAGTTTCCGCACGACCCCATCAAGATGTGAGTCCTCTTGTCGTTGTTTACATTAGCGTCAAGTTCATCTACTCGTGCAGTCCAGTTCAAGACCCCGAGCCGCAAGTTGCCATTCCTGTTTCCAAAGACGTTCGTGAGATGGGAGCGTGTGAGCCATGAGAATGACTCTGCTCTGCAGTTCCCGTGGCGCGCTCAGATCCATCGTGACGCGTTCAGCTATGGCGAAGCCAGTCCTCTCGTCGACCCGCGCCTCGTCGTCGACCTTCGGTAGTTTTGAATCTTGTTGACAAGCTACGTACTGACGGACTTCAGGTTCTTCGGCATGCAGAAGGGCGTGCTGGAGAACAGAATAATTTTCGAGGACAGCTTCTGGGACGCGTACGAAATGCCGCAGGCGACGTTTGAGTATACTCCTACGCCGGAGTTTGCGAAGCAAGCCACCGACATGATGAATGAGTTAGGCGGCTGTCTCAGTCTGCACAGTCAGTTTCGGACGCTGACGCGCGACTCCTAGTATGACGAATGCCGCGCACGTCCTCGGAGGATATCTCCCTGGTACGCCGTCTTCTCTTTCGCATTCTCGGAGGAATTTCAATTTTAACCTGGATCGGAAGGGTCCAACCCGCAGTTCATGACGCCTGGTCTTTCGCTTCACCTCGGAGGCTCCATGCGTCTTGGCCACAAGTACGACACAGCTCATTGACTGCGCAAAGCTCACGTACGGATTGTTGCTCAGGGAGGAGAAATCCGAGTCCGTCGCAGACTACAACTCACTCGTTTGGGACACGAAGAACCTATACGTCGCAGGCAACGGGACCATCCCCACGACGTTCGGCGCGAACCCGACCCTCACCTCTATGTGCTTCGCGATTCGCTCCGCGTACTCAATCAACGAATACCTCAAGTCGTCTGGGACTGCCGCCGCGACAGAGTCGTACTCGCCGAGCACATCTGTTCCCGAGAAGTATAAGACTCCCCAGAAAGTCGGAGCGCAGCGCGTGGATGTCGCAGATTCGACTATCAAGCCCACGCCGGACGAGTGGCTGGCCTGGGCGAACGTCGATGACAATCGCCACAAGAACCTTCAGGGCGCGTCGACCGCGGTCTTCGTTCCCTATGAGTAACGTTCCAGGTGTACGGCAATCGATAGATGCTGAGAAAGGTCGCCTCGTCGCGGGCCATACATTCTACCTGACAACTTATATCGTGTGAAACGTTGCGAGCGGCCAACTCCATCCTGAACACGCAACTTTTCTAGCGACTGATGCGCATTGCTTTCCAGTTTGAACAGTCCTGATACAAACCGATGTGCATGCCCAGAGACAACATCACGTGTGAGAATGCGTCGCGGAAGCAAGTCGAACAACGACGCGGGTGGCACCGGTGCGCGCCTCCGGACCACCATGGCAAATCCTCAGACAATATAAACCACCGCAACACCGCGCTGCGCTTCTCTCCCCCAGACATCCATCTCCATCTGCGACGCGCGACTCTGCCATGGACGCTTTCTTCTCCAACTCGAACGTGCACGCATACAGCGGCTTCAACGGCAACGCGAGCGACTCCGGTGGTACATCCGCGGGGTCGACGCCGCCCATGGGAGACGACTTCACCAGCTTCGACGCTGGCGCAGCCTGGGCAGGGAACGCAAACGCCTACCAGCCACGCTTCGGATTCGATATTGGTCACCACGCGCCGCTGGGCACCCTGAACGCGTACAGCGGGCCCGTCCAGCAGCAAGCACGCGTCGCTCCTCCTCCTCCTCCATCGTCATTCGACTTCGACCCAAAGAATCCATTCGGAGACCTGTTCGAAGACATGCAACGCAACGCCCGCAACGCAGCGCAGATGCAAGTCCCTAATCCCTGGCCTCCCGCGTACCAGGCTCAGCACCCGCCTGGATTCGACAGCGGCTTCGGAGCAGGATCGTATGTGCCCGCCGCAAACATGGGATATGCTGGATTCGGGGCCGCCGCCTACTACTATCCTCCGCCCGCCGCCAACTCGAACACAGTAGACATCCAGCACGGAACGCCCGCGACGAACATGGGATATGCTGGCTTCGCGCCGCCCGCCGTCTTTCACCCTCCTGCACCCGCCGCCAACCCGAACCCGCAGCACGTCCAGCGCTATGCCTTGCGTTCTGTCGGCGTCGTACGCGCGGACGCTCCCCCAGCCGCAGGTGTGGTCGAGCCGCAGGGCATCGAGTCTCCTCCCCCGCGGGGACGCAAGGGGAAGGCTGGGAAGTCGAGGGCCACAGCCGGTCGTGCGCGCAAGCACAAAGGTACGTGCCCGCCATATACGATGAGCCATGGCTGTAGCTGACAGCGACGCGTAGAAGTCCAGTCATCTCCCGCGCCTGCATCGCCCGTCGCGGGACCCTCGCATGTCGACGACGACGGCGCCCGAGGGTGGCGCGATCTCGATGCGCAGAATGGCGTCTTGCCATCATTCCTCGCGCTGCAGAATGCCGACATCGGTGAGCGCAACCCGCTTTTTCCATTCGTGACTGCGATCTTATCAGTACCTGCAGGCATTCCGCACGCACCTCTCGCTGCAAGTGAAGAGGGTACATATCCTGGCGGCGACGTCCAGGATTACGAAAACAACACCATAACTCGCGGACAGTCACAGGGCTCGTCCGCTGGCGGCAAAGCAGCAGCTTCCCGGTGGCGCGCGGCACGCACAGCACCAGGCGTCACGAAGGACGCGCCGCGAGACAAGGAAGATCGCCTCAAGATTCACGCGCCGGTCGCGAACCCCCAGCCTCCTGTCAAAGGGAAGGCAGTCCCGGTCTTCGAGCCCGCGCCGCTCGGCAAGACGCAGTACTGTCGCGAGTGCTGGGAGAGCGGCGACCTCGTCTACTGGCAGGACGACGCGGGTCTGAAGAAGCACTGCCGCGACAAGCACAGCAAGGAGCGCGGCGAGAGCAGCGTGCCGCACCAGTGCATATTCGAGTGCGGGTTCTTCAAGTGCAGCACACGCGCGGAGCACTTCATCAAGCACCGCAAGGCGAGGGGCGGGAAGACGGACTGCAACTACCACGAGCTGGAGGCAAACGGGGGAGTGGAGGGGTTCCTCATACAGCGAGGGCTGCAGGGGCACTGGCAGCTGGGGAAGGCCAAGGCGAAGGCGAAGAAGGGCGGGAGGCGACAGGTGGTGGAGGAGGATGAAGACACTGACGCGGACGTCGACGAGGATGATGACGAGTAGGAAACTGTGTCGTTCCGATGTAATTGTATCACCAATCGAGTATTCCCTTACCCTATCCTGTGACTGCGCGAGCTAAGCTGTTGGTTCCGACCTGAACGACGGCGCGCCGGGCGCTGAGAGAAACGGAGGGACAAAGACGCTGCCACTTCAGCACGCAAGCTTTATGGCGCATGCACGGACCACGCAGAGAATGCAGGATGATGCGTGCATTGTCGGTCATGCGCTCAAAATCATAGCCAATTGGTCGCCATCGATGTCGACGGCCGTGAGCAAGATTGTCGACCGGACCGGAGTTACGCGCGATAGTTGAAATAGAGAGTCATCAGGGCAAAAGGAAAACGTAGTCGTTCAGCGCAGGAGTCGAACCTACTCTTCCCCAAGACTGTTCATTGATAGGGGTGTCATTCCGTTAGACCATCCGAACATCCCGACCTCTGCTCAGCCGTATAATATGACCCTTTGCCAACCGGTTGCGCATATCTTGGGTAAAGTCCCAGGCGCAAAAATCTTGCTGTCGATTCACGGTCACCACAAAGTACATACAACGTGCTGCACCTCACGGAGTTGAATTTTTGGGATTCAGAGGCAAGAAGTGCGTATCCTATCTGCAAGTTCAAATGCACGACGAGAGAAAACACATGTTCTATAGTACACGCATCATGCTATCATTCGCAGAATCCGCTGGACTGCAATGTTAAAATGACCACCCGCCAGCACTCGGTGGTCCTGGAGCACGACACCCACCTTTCGCAGGCCGTCCGGCGCGTAGAACCGATAGCTGTGGCTTCGATGCACATGAACATAAGACGTATATCCAGTACATAGACGAGGGACGTTACAGATGGAACAGAGTGGAAGACAGATCACGTGCGCGAGACAGGTCGAACAACAACGCGGGTTGCACCGGTGCGCGCCTCCGGACCACCATGGTAAATCCTTTGGGAGACAATATAAGACCGCCACGACGCGCGCTGCGCTTCTCTTCCCCAGATCTCCACGAGCGTCTACTCTGCGATGAATCCTCTCTTCCCCGCCTCGAACGCGCAAGACTACGCGAATGCATACACTGGCGGCTTCGACCCGAGCGAGTCCGGTGGGACCTCGACGCGCACCACGCCGACCATGGGCGCGGACTTCGGCGGGTTCGACGCCGGCGCAGCGTGGGCTAGCGAAGGAGACGCGTACTTCCCGCGCGTCGCGTACGACGGCGCAACCTGGCCGAACGGGTCGTTCCACGCCGCGAACCACATGCGCGTCCCCGACGCGCCTCTCCCTCCACCATCCTTTGATCCAGAGCACCCCTTTGCCGACCTGTATCCAGCTACGCGAGACCGTGCGTTCGACGCGACGTATGGGAACGGGTCGCTCGACGGCGGCGCCATGAACTTCAGCATCGTCCCGCCCCAAGTAGGCGTTGGGCCTCCCTACGCCCTCTCCCATTATCCCGTCCCCGACTCCAGTGTAAACAACCCGTTCCACGCTATGTACCCAGGCATGCAACGCCCATTCGTCGGCGACTTCAACGGCGGTGCGATGGCAGCACCCAACCCGTCGTACCCCATCTACCAATCCCCGCCGCACCCACCCGCCTTCAACGCTGTCTTAGAACGCTCACATACGGGTTATCCAAACTTCGCGCCAGCCAACCACCCGTACTTGCCGCCGTCGCCACCAGTTGACATGAGCGCGCAGGATACGAGTACCATCCATGCCTCCCAACGTGTACCGTACGACGACGCGGGCTCTCTCGACGTCCAGGGCCCGCTCGTTCCAGCGGCTGGTATCGATGTTCCTCCTGCCCGAGGGAGGAAGGGCAAGGCGAAGAAGCCGAAAGCGAAAGCCAAGGCCAACCGCGCGCGCAAGCAGAAAGGTACGTGCGCGTAAGATCTGACAGCATGGCGCTGTAACTGACGACGATGCGTAGACATTGACCCGCCCGCCGCACCAGTCGCAGGATCCTCGCGACTCGTCGACGATGATGGGTACGCCGCGCAGGAATGGCGTGACCTCGACGCGCAAGGCAGCATCCCATCGTTCCTTGCTCTGCAGAACGCCAACACGGGTGAGTGTGGGGTCTTCCGTAGAGTCGTCTGCGCTGTCTGGATTCTGATCAGTGAACACAGGCGTTCAGCACGCACCTCTCGCTCCAAGCGTTAGGGGTGGTTATCCTGACGGCGACGTCCAGGATAGCGATAACAATGACATAGCACGCGGACAGTCACAGGGCTTGTCCGTAGGCGACCAGAGCGTCGCAACCACAGGTTCTCCGAGAACGTGGACCGGTCCAGGGGCCAGCAAAGCCGAGCAAGTACGCGACGAGGACGGACGGCTGGCGGTACACGAGCTCATCCCCGAGGCCGAGCGAGAACCACCCGTGCCAGGAAAGGGGGTCATCGTCTGCAAGGCGCCGCCGGTCGGGAAAGACCTCTACTGCCACCAGTGCTGGCTGGCGAAGCGCGTCGTGTACTGGCAGGACAGCGACGGGCTTCGAAAGCACAACCGTACGAAGCACAGCACGGAGCGCGGCGACAACAGCGTGCCGCATGCGTGCATCCTGGAGTGCGGGTGGAGCAAGAGGAGTACGCAGGCGACGCACTTCGTCGAGCATCGCATGCGGCACTGCCCGCGATACCGTGAGCTGAAGAAGGACGGCGGCCGCGCGTTGGAGGAGTTCTTGACGGAGCGTAACCTCCATGGGCACTGGCAGTTGAAGGGGAAGAGGAAGGCGTAGAGTAGGCGGCGGATGGACAATGCAGGAGCTCGCGACGGCCGTGTGTACTTGTATGTGAGTGCCGAAGTATATCTTGTCGTGTCGTATAAACGTCCAGAATGTTTTGTCCTGTGCCCTGTGACTGCGCGAGCTAAGCCGTTGTTACCGACCTGAACGAGGACGCGCCAGGAGACGCGCTCGGCGTGAGGAAGGAACAAAGAATGGACACTGAGCAGGGCAAAGCTTTATGTACGCGCCCTGGGTCCACGCGCAGAGAACGCATGGTCAGACCATGCGTCCAAAGTATGGATATGGACCGCCATCGATGTGGACGAACGAGAGCAAGATTGTCGTTCGGACCGAACGCGGCCACGTCTGAACTTCCGGATAATGCACCGCGGACGTGAATAGTTCTTGTACTTGGAAATACGTAGGAAATGCGCCTATCTTGACGACAAACCGAGTTCAGTAGGTGTATGAGTGTGTATGTTACTATACATGAGTATGCAGGATCAGATTCATCTTGGAAGCGCGTCATGAAGAGCCACAGCAGGACATCAACATCGTGACAGTACTAGATAGTCCACTCGTCGGGTCGTTTCGGTTTGTCCGTATGTCAATGGGTCAGCGCAGATGCTCCGGCCATTCCTCTCGTCGCCTCCAACGCCCTTCCTCGTCGAAGCGCGGGTTCACGGCGTAGTCTAAGCCGTGACTATCGGAGCGCTTGCCCAACACCGGCACTAAGAGAGGAACGTCGATAAGCAACGGGAAGAGAAGGAGAGAAAGGAACGGGAAAGACGTACAGAACCACCCAACAACGCTATCGCCCATCCGCGCATGCCAATTCGCCGACGCAGACCCGAGCCACCAGATGTTGCCCTCCGTGCGCGGGTTACCCCACTCGTCGTCCCAGCGCTTCCGTATCTCGCGGCGCGATCTACAACGACGAAAGGTAAGTGCAGGATCCTGCGGTGGTGGACAACGTACCGTGCATCCCACCACGGCAGCGCGTTCGCGAGCACCGCGCTCTCCTGCTCCCACATTTGGTGCGCATTCATGCTCTCGAGGGTCGTCAAGTTGCTCATGTTCAGGCGTATGTGTGTCGCAGCCATCCCCACGGTAAACAGACTGAACAGCGCAGCGCTACGCGGCACATGTCAGTGTTGCCATCCACCCTTTCTGCTGCAAGACGTACAGTGCCATGATGGCGATGTAGAACGCGTCAATGTCACCGCCTCCGCGCCCGCGGTTGTTGAGCCGTATTGTCGCGATGAGGAGGGAAAGGAAGACGTAGAGGCAGTACACGGCCCCCCATTCGGTGAAGACGAAGAAGAAACGTGCGTTACGCGCGCCGACGCATTGGCCGATCCATGGACAGTGGTGGTCGTAGGCGAGTACTACGAAGTATGAGTAAGTTCATGAATAGAAGGCAGGGGAGCAGACGACGCACCGCACTACAGATCGCGTTAGCTCTCGGTAAGGCGAAGACATGGCAAGACGGGCGCACCTTGCCGCACGCTCGACAATGATGTGTACCTAACACGATACACAGATGAGCGAGTCGTCCGACAGACCGCGGTGGACGTACGTTTCGGCTTGACGATCCCCTCGCGATAACAGTATCTGTACTCTGTTCGCAAGACGGGATGCGCGGGTGGTTGTCGCTGGAGCTCAGGATGTAGAATCTCTCGCGCCTTCCCCGGGTTCGCACCAACTGGTTCACCGTGTACTTGTAGAGTCGAAGGAGGAGGCGCGATGGTGGAATCGGTGGTTGCGTGCGCGTCGGTGTGCCATGGTTGCGGTTGCGGCGGCGCCGTCGGCGCTGGAGTCTTGTGCACATGCTACACGCTAATGTGAGCACAACAGTCTCGTCGAATACTGCGATGAGCACGAACGTCTATAGCGTAGCCGGGCGATACGAGCACGATCTGGGCAGACGAGGATGCCGCGTAAGCGCCCGTGGACGTCAGCGGGCGAAGGTGACGCACCATGGCATACGACCACAACAGCATGGCCAATACGATCGTGTATCCCACAAGGAGCCCTACTGCAGCACATCGAGATGGTCGTCAGTTGTCAGTGTCCAGGGTTGCGTGCAGGGTGAGCCGCAAAGTATATAGTTTTGTACGCACTCGCACTCGACCGTCCCACTGCGCTGCCCTCATCCTCGCGCAGGGCAGGGACCACTAACCGCCCGATGTAAACGTACGCGCTGAGCCCGACTATGCCTGAACGGGACGATATGTGAAGAGTGAGCGGGAGGTTGGGCGATCCAGGGTGGCAGGCGCGCACCGAGCACCACGCCGACCATGAGCTTGCGCACTACCCATGGTGGGGGCCGATTTCGTCGTACCTCCCGCCGGGCTTCGACAGTTTGCGACACGCGCGCGCACGAAGATTCTTGGTCACGCTGGTGGTGTGGAGGCATGTCGCAGACTGACAGCGTTGCCGCTCCGCTTGTCCGTTCCGAGTCGCGCTTGACTTCACACCATTCGCGTCACATCCTGCTGCCTACACATCCACTCGTGCTGCTCAGGCGTTCACCTTCGTCGTATCTGATACCAATAACCCCGTTATACGCCAAAGCGAGGGTGTGACTCTGGGAGCAGTAGCATGCCCGCGTCCAACAGGCCCTCACCCGGGACTGGTGAGACTGAGACAGCCGTCGAGCGTATCTGGACATGAACACGAACAAAATGGACGGAGGCCTTGTC